ACTTGGGGTCAAATCATGGAAGGCTGGTGCCAATACCATGTGCAGATTGTGGACCAAAAAATTTTGCAATAAAGTACAATGTCTCACCTTTCATTTAAGCTACCACAAATCACCCTGAGAAAATTAGCACAGACAGAACAGCCCATTTAAACAAGGCACTATATTCTCCTATTTTGCTTCCGGGTCATGGTGAAAAAGTAAAGGGGGTAACTGTGGTCTGAGGCCATTTAAAATGTCAATTGTGTCAGAGCTTTTAATATGTGCCTTAACCTTGTCAATCAGAATAAACAAGGCGTCACGAGGCTATAACGTATGTAGAATCTGTCAGTGGTCTTGAATAACACGCGGCCTGCCTTTAGAATCCCCGGCCAAATATGCGCAGTGAAATCAAACATATTTGTATCTTTTTGCTTCAGAACATTGTTCACTTTACGGCTGTCCCAATTCTTAACCATGACGTTGCAATACTGTTGTACAAATGTGTTATACCGACACGCTCGGTTGTGTTCCCATGACGACAGTGGTCAGACTGGCCTGACATTTGTAAGGCTTCAGTGCAGTGTTTGTTTACATCACAGAAATATACAAATTCATTTCATCGGGGACTTTAGGGGACGCTCACGGTGAAATGCTCGCTCTTATTTTGCACACAGAATAGGAAAGCGACCATTTTGGTTTCTCTACGATTGATTTGGTCAGGAGCAACTTAGACTTTGAATCTTAACTTTACGATTGACTTGGGTAAGATTGGTTAGTGGAACGGTATGCCGATCGTAACGTCACGCTAAGATTGGGATTTTAGGGGTTTACGATTGGCCTAGGGCTAAGATCGGTTAGTGGAACGGCACCCTGTACAGTAACCTCCTTAACAGCTGATAATAGATATAATAAATAAATATAGATGCAAAAGAAAGAACTGACAAATTCTTATCTATCTCTTTAACTGTCAGCTAGTGAAAAAGAAAATTCTTCATTGTGTTCTAGTAGTAATGTGTGATCAGTCCCAAAGAAAGACTATCGATCAAATCAAGAAACCAGCACACAAAAATTAAAGCAAATAATTTATTTGCATACAAACTGTTTATGACAAATTAATGAATACAGTGTGTACTCCAACATCATGAAGGCAAAGACTTGCGTGTAGATTAACTGGATGGACTTGTAAAAGCCTAAGAAAACAAGATTGCTCTCCAATAACACCAGATGACACAGTGGTGACTGCAATTTGGAAACATTTACCATCTGAACAAGTCCAGGATTCAAACAGACGAATACAATAGACCTTAAGACATCAGGCACAACTGGTTTCAGTTCACACCCTAGACACATATACATGATTTCATTTTATGTCTTAATGTCAATGAATTCACCAGTTCCTGTTTACTAGTTATAAATGAAAGTGTCTGGCAGAATATCCAGGAAAAATAGGCTGTTGTGTCCTGCAGGTGTCCTCCCATTACGCAGACAGGCAGTTCGCAGACGCCTTAAAACAACAACATTTACAGTTCAATGAACAGATTAGCTACTACCCGTTACCTACACATTATAATGGAATAGTCCAAATACTCAAGAAGAAAACTGAAGCTGTATTATTTACTTTGAAAGATGTCCGAAAAGACATTTGGATTTTGAATGTTGCTGCAAAAAACACCAAAAAAACCAATAAAAACAAAACAAACTTGATTTTTTATAAACATTCTGCTTTAACCTTCTGGTCTAACGGGAGTTGGCATCATCATATTGAAAACATTGTCAAAATGACATCTAAAATGATTGGAGCATTTCAGAAATTAAATTTCCGACTGAACAGAACAACACCAGTTTTTCCTCAGGATTTACTCCCACCTGTAGTAGGCAACCAGATAAGTTATGAATTAAGAAACTCCAATAATTTTAGTCGACCATGTACAAGACTGAGGTACTCAACATCATCTTTTATTCCATCAGCAGTAAATATGGACTAATAATCCTATAGCTATTAGGAATTGCAACTCTGTTGCATCATTTGAATTTCATATCCACGTGAAAGAAAAGTGTGCACCTAAATATTATTCATATGGAATAAAGAAGTTAAATGTTTTGCACACAAGATTAAGATATATATGACGAGTACAGTTAATTATAATTTATTTAGAATAAATATAAAAAAGTGTCTCATCATGTCAATGTGGCCATGGATGTGAGAATGTTTTTCATTACTTCCTTGACTGTCCATTGTTTACTGATCAAAGTAAACTGGTAAAATCTTTAGAAAGTATTGTTAAAATTAGAACATTGACTGGTCTTAATCTTATCTTACATGGCAATGCAGGTTTCTCAATAACTGAAAAGCAGAATGTTCTCAAATATGTACATATCTCTCTGCCATGTTTCTTCAAACTCTGTGAATAAATTTTACATTGAATTAGAGACATTTTGTAACACAATTTCAGTATATTTTGTTTTGGCAACCATAATAATAATTTTCTTTAAAATCTGCACTAAAAAAGTAAGTACTTTTGTCTTAACAAAAGCTGAGAGGGAAAATAGATATGATGATTAAAAACCAGTGTCTTTGCAAACAAGACTTAGTGTTGACTCATTAGTTTGGGAAAAAACATGCAGTAATAGGAACAGTGTGGGTCTTTTCAAACTGGAGTGCACCAGTTCAACCAAAGATTATTGATTGTCTGAATTATATTTACCATGTGTTGGTTTCTTGTTCACTGGCTTGACCTCTTGGTTTAGGCTTAGGGGTAGCTGATTGCCCAGTTGGGTTCTCCAGTCTTGGTCACTTCTAGGGTATTTAGGTTGTTTTCATTGATGTGAAATGCTGCCATGTACATCCTAAAAATAGCATTAAAGTAGCATTTTTACATTTGCCAAAAACAAAACTCACAAAGAAATACATTATCTGAATGAACATATTTCCCTGATTTCCCATTTTTGAAAGTGGGTTAAAAGTTATACCTATATACACAGCTGCCATGATGTTTTTACAAGGGGTCCATAAATACCTAAGTTTTATGCTAGTGCAGAGCAGTCATTTTCATTTTATTTATTGTACATTGCCTTAAAGAGAGAAAGAGTGAGAGTCAACATTTTAATCATGCCCTAACACACACACGCACACACACACACACACACACACACATACACACAATTCACATACCCATTTTAACATGGCAAGGGACCAGTCCCTGGTGGATAATTATCTGATATGACTCATTTTTAATTATGTTTTAATAATTATGTGCTCTCTCTCACCTCCGCACCCATATGTTGCAAGTTCTCATTTGTCCATGCCCACCCCCATCCCAATCCCTCCACACACACTCACACAACACACCCGTCTCGGGAAATAGATGGCTTGGCCCTTCTGAACAACAGTCACACTAACAATAACAGTGGCGGTGAAAATATATCTCTGATCGAAAATAGGACATGAGCGCAAACTATGACGTACTTTTTCATCAATTATTGCTTTATATAGCTAGCTACTGGAGTGTTTATGTTGCTCCAAAACAACTACACCTTAAAACTTACCTGCAACCAACGTCGCTTCCGGAATGCAACTCTCTCGGTCTCAGTCCCAAGTTGACATTTCGGCCTCTGTGTTTGTTTGGAATGTCGAAAGGAATACCCGATATATAGCATCCTTATAAAGTTTAAGTTTTGCCTATTCGTATCCATGTTTCGCCAGAGGTTCGGTCTCTTTCATAGCACTTCTTCGAAAAGTGTAACGAACACAGATGACCGTGCGTGGAGGCGTTCACAGAATCCGCACAACGACAGTAAACAATCTATGCCCTTCCTCTTGTCAAATAGAATTTCTCAGGAAATGTACATCCGTGTTGTTTACGCAGTTGGATGATCATCAAAACGCGAAGTGCAGTGCAATACATAATCACAACAACGCTTCATGCAAAATATTGCGCTTCGTGTCACTTTCAACTCGATGGCGTATACACTACTGAAATGTCAATACACTGAGCGGACTCTCGGGTATGACGTCACACCCACAGACGGCAGACCGCTAAAAATAACAATATGCATACGAGTGGGCGGGGCTAAAGTGGTTTTAGTTTTGGTGCATATTTATAATTTCTACGACTATTTTTCGTATATGGATGGTGCAGATGTGGTATATATTCATGTTTGAATGGCATTATGTAATAAAAAATGCATAGTGTTTAACCTTTTTAAAAATCCTTTAAGTATGCAAGTTGAAATATTTCGTTAACATCAGAGATATCCATAACAGTTTAGGGTAAGGTGTCTGCCGCTTTACTTGTTGCTCATGAGGCTGAACAGTTATGAATAAGATCGCCACAATAGTCGCGATTAGAAGTGCAATTCAACAACGATCACGGGGTCGCCATTTTGTGCCTTCTGCCTCCTTCATCATAAAATGTTTCGTACTACATATACACCTAAAGATAATTATACTCTAAGTTAAAGTCCAAACATTGTTTATGCTACATGGTTGGTTGGACATGGTTACGTCATGACTATATGACTATAATCATATTGTTCACTAATGTTCACCAGTCAACAAAAGAGACAAACTCTTTCTCATAATCGTAAAAAGATGGCAGACTGCACGCTTTCACCCTCTCCAGAATGAATCACTGACAAATAGTGCTGACACGGCGTGCGCGAGAAAAGAGGAGGTTACCCGCTCCACCAGTGAAACATACAACAACCACGTTTCATAGCAAGCCGGATGTTCTCTAGAACACATAATGACGGGTACGCTCTGTACAAGTCCAGCACTGACACAAAGACAAACAGTGTAAATCCATTCGTAACTACTCACCTCTTTCCGTGACCTACAAGAACACTCGTACCTGTATAGTACGCCATTATTGCCAAGAATCGTGGTAAACCAATCAAATTGCGCGTAGTAAAATGTGAAATGAGGTCAAATAGTTTCTTTGCGGTTATCGATTTTCATTATTACTTGAGTGATTATAAAATTATCTCGTTACTGGTATTAGTTAGGGACAAAAGAAACTTACCATTTTCGTGTTGTATTATGAATTAATTGGCGTAGGGAATTGTTGACGCATTTCGAAGCATGAAAATGAGTGTACTTGTTTTGTAGTCTTTATTGGATGAGAGGACTCAAAACATACTATACACAGAAGTAGATGCACATATATATACTAATATAATCCCCCTAATTATTCCTTACTCCAAACGAAGCACCCTTTCTTCATTGATACTCGGGCTGTTCCATTATTCTACAGGGCAAAAAATCATTTCCCACGCTGCCTACAATGTTTTTGTTGGCAGTTTGGGATGTAGGCAGTTTGGAACTGTAGACAGTATGGGACCTAACCGTGAAACTAGCAGCGGCCATTAAAGAAGTTATATATAGACACCGGGAAATGCACGAATGTCAACGAAGGGTATTACGTTCACAGCGCTATTGTTCATTGTTGCGAAACGCTGTGGAGTAATAATATAACAGTTTATACAGTGTAACGAGCATTGTATACGTTTACATTCTGTTGGATACATCTGATGTATGGTTCCATTGTTTGGCTATTGATGTCACTCCAACTTGGAGGGCGCTCGAGGTAGCAGGCAGCGCGGATTCAACAGAAGCCAGTCAAGGCGGAGACGCCTGCCACATCAGTGGTAAGCATATACTCCTTCATTCATTCTAACATTAGGAGCTATTCTGTTTTCATGTTGTGATATGAGACCGGTGCATATCATGGCATGACGAATGACACGCGTCTAAAATTGGGATACGTTCGAGCAGATCCGTGATCTAGCGTTTTCGAGTTCTCAGTATGGAATCGTCCAGCCTTGAGGGAAACAAATCTCCCACATTTAGTCGTCTAGCCCGAGCAGTGGTGTGCCTCGTTGAAAACCACGGGACTCACCTTGATATTGGACCAGATTATGCTCACGAAAACCAAAGATCTTGCATGTGTCTGACAAAATGGCAAGTCAACCAACAGAACGTAAACGCCATGCCATTTCAGCGAAAGAAAAAAAGAGAAATTTGTAAATACAAAAAGCAGCATCCCAGTTGACCAGTTGATCAGCTACTACGAGTGTGCAGGCGACAGTGACAACTTCGAACTGTTATTGAAAGTGAAGTCCTCTCGCTTTTCTACAAAGCCGGTACAAAAAGGTTTGACCCATTTCTTCAAGCTAGCATGTATTTGACAAGATGTGATTGTATGTATGCATTGTTATTTGTTGATGTCTTATCAATAAAGATTACCTCTTAGACCTATCATGTTCGTTTCTTTGTATGTCTTTCTACATATGGTCCTTGGTTCAGATATCTGGAAATTCGTTTATCCGGACAATTTCAAGAAAAACACAAGTGTCCGTATAAATGGGGCACGACTGTATACAGTGATGTATTTCAGTATACAGCAATTATATGCTAATACTTTGTTTGCAGATGATTTACTACTTGAAGCCGACATTCCCATTTGACTACACAAGAGGTTAGACTTACTTTTTAAAAATTTGCGAATGTCAAACATAATATTTTTTCCAATTGAGGCAGACTTTCTAAATATTAAAATCTTGCATACAATGGAGTGAGTGACTTTAGTTTTACGCCGCACTCAGCAATATTCCAGCTCTATGGCGTCGAAATACAATGGGATGAGATTAGAAACTTATATTGATAACCCGATAATTAGTTTTGACATATGCATGCAAAGTTCTATCGGAACAAGCTTAAACGTCACTTATGCCCATACGATCTTTGATAAGCGAGCACTCGGAAAACTGGCCAGCTATATTGCAAAACCTTCAATCAAAGAATTAAAAGATAACACGTTGATTGATAAATCACTGTTATCTTGCACAGTAGATTTGTCAAAAGTTTTCTTGTATGTAGGTTTACAAAATCAGACGGAATACACCCACATATATGGGTGTAAAAGTAACATACTTTATTCAAAGGATTAGCCGACAATATGATGGCTATTGTTCATTGCTGTCTGATTAAATTGAAATGTTTGAAGTACCGCGGGCATTATAATGTCCCGTGTGCTATCTCAGCTGACCAATGAGACTGCTGAAACAATCAGTTGACAGACGAACACGAGTTATAATATCCCGAAACGCTGTGGATATTTTCAAACAATGTATGGTTACAAAGACGAGTGTCATCGAACAGGTGTCTCTGTACTGCTTTAGATATATGGGATATTGTTCCTGTGTGGATATTGACAGACATATGCCTCGAAAAAGATAACTGCCTGATATTATACTCTTAACTTCTTTGGATGTAATTACGATATATGCATTTTGTTTGTATTTATTTGCTGAACACTTGTGACCTCAACGGTTAATGATCAAACCGTTCAATAATTGATAAGATTCCGGCAATAGCAAGCAGCTATTCTAAAGGGTTATTTAGGAGATAAACGTACTGTGTTTGGAAATTAGATGAATGTTAGACCGAATTGATAGTCTCTAAATTTCATTTGAAGCCGAAAGCGTAGCGTGAGGTTTCAAATGATTAATTTAGAGACTATCAATTCGGTCTAACATTCATCTAATTTCCAAACACAGTATGTTTATCTCCATTCTACCATAACCGATTTAACATCGAACTTCCTCGTCCTGCGGAAGACACTGCGTAATCCAGCATGGGACGAGAGGCGAATTGAACTCGTCTGTGAAGGGAGCGGTAGGTGCCGTTCGTATTTTTGTAAACATTGCAGCATAAAAAATATTCTGTCCAAAGAAAACAAACTACTGTTTATTCAATGCAATAATGTAACACCTAAGAGCTTGTTTTTATAATCATAACTCCATACGACCGAAACGAGCCTATTGTTTTGTGTGCCGTGTTACTGTGCTCCCCTGGCCACACTAAAATGGAATCGTCTGACCTACTTATTTTCTTGGAAGTAGACAGTGACACAACAGTTTGAAATGGCGGACGAGCAAGTGTTTACATTTTGCGAAAGGTTGAAATTCGAAGTGACAGTGGAAAATACTTGACTGACTGTCGAACCTGAACCCTGCAGAATCGAACAATACATCCTTTCTGATCGACCTATGACCTGTAACTCATCAAAGACTGTTGATTTTTATGACCGGCGAGTGTCGATCATGATTTCACTTAGGTGCCTCCACCCCGCCCGCGGCATGCGACGAAAGAGTGACAGTGCTGCTTTGTGTACATGCGACTAACTTGACATTCCTTGGAACATTGTTCTCATCATTTAGTACTGGATTTTGGTCAAGCGTTTCAAAGTGTACGAACATAGCAGTGACAGCCGTGCGGGAAAGGTGGCAGAGAGCGGAATTCTCGTGGTTCAAGTTTTTGACATTTTGAACGATGCAATGGGACATGATGGAGTATGAGTGGCATACATTTTTTGTTTCGCCTGACCGTTATCTTGCGAATTTCCCATTCTAAACGGAAACAAATATACCATTTACCAGGTAGGTAAATGTTTACGAACGTTTTGCCGCACAAATAGGGATAGATAGGGATGTATTTTTACAAGGTTTTCTGATGTATATGTTAGATATTGTTTGTTTATGTTTGGGGCTGTGTATTGTAATTGAGTTTGAATATTTATATAATAGAAGATAATAATTATGATAGTGAGGTTCCCTAATAATTGTGGAGGAGAAATCGTATAATTGTATTTTTCGAGTTTTAATCAATGTTTAATCAGCATTTCCATCACGTCGATCTGTTGTGTTGATATTAGTCATGTTGGTGGCCAAACTGAAGTAGTGCGGCAGTGTTGTATACGTGCGCAGTGAAGCGCCGTGAAATCAGACGCATTTTCAATCCAAATTGATACCGTGTGCATTCGAGCATTTCACGTAGCCATGGTAGAATATTGAATTAAATACATTTAGTAAAGCTGCAACTAAAATAACTGGATATTGGGGTGTAAATTCTTACTACCGAAGCCGACGGAGGAACATATATCTAGACTCCACGCATATACAATTGTTGCCAGAGACCCCTTGAGCTGCTTTGTCAATAACACCAATGTTTGTCGTTCATGATATAAAAAGATAAAGTGGACAATGATAACATGCGACCCCGCTGCGTGTGTAGAAGTGATCAGATTCCCGAATACACATTCCACTAGACTTGCACAAGTCTCTAAGGTAAAACAATAGTATTTTAAATGAATATTTCTAAAAAGAAATCCTAAATAACACACTGTCCTGTCGGCCTATCTAGACTTGCCTCTTCGAAGGATATAATTGCTATACATTCATGGGCTCAGCATTCAGTACAGCATGTAGCAAGGCTAACACGGCGGTGACAGGCCGGGAAAGCCACATTTCAAAAATGACTTCCCGGGAAGGTCACATCAATGTTGGCTATCTGTTTTGAAATGTGGCTTTCCCGGGCTGTAAGCAACAGGTCTGCAAGGCCTTACATATTTAAGTGTTTCTCCAACCTCAAGCAGCACGAGAGCGGGAGGGCTAAAAAAGTAAGAAATCTAAGAAAGATGTTTTACGTAGATTGTTTGACTTTTTTCATAAAATGTAATGATTACTTAAGTAGTGTTTAGAATAAACGTATGTAGCTTCGCTTCGGAAGTATTTTGATAAACATATATGAAATATCCGTGTGTAAAGGTAAGATTTTATGAATATTTTTGTTGCATCAGGGCATTAATTGCCACAAAACTATTTTTATATATTATTTCACGTCGAAATGAAAAAATCAGGGCGGACGGGAGATGGGAAACAGAATAATTATGGATAGCCTAAACTTGGCTACAACTCCTATGTTCCGAGTATGCTATACACGAGGTCACGACCTGCCACGTGGGAACAGCCGTCACTCATGTCGGTTAATGTCCTAAGAGGTTATGAGAGGTTAAGAAACGATCGGTCAGCCTGTTTGACCTCTTTGTTTACCGTTCAGAGACGGTCAGTTCAGCCACGGGTTAAAGTAGTCCTTGAAGAACGAACACGACCCACGTGTGATCTAAGACGCTTTTCTCAAGGTAATACATTTGTTATTTACAGTGCATTTCCAACATACACGTATAGAAGTGGCAAAGATAAGCACGCGAAAATTATCGAGTGAATTATCCTTGTGTCTGAAACGTGGTTGAGTACTGAAGCCAGCAATCGTTGTAACTGTCATGTATGTTTTAAGAGGACGGACACTGCAGTGTATAAGAAGATGGCGATAAAGATTATATTCATTAGCAAGATAGTTAAGGATTTGAGTCTCGTGTTCGTCTCGATTATAAACAGTAGTCTGTTTAACCATTTTCTCCCTGGTGTGATAAATTCTTGACATCTTCCACTTCGTCACGTTCGAACTGTTTGAGAGGCATTCTAGGAGATGTAAGCTACAGGAATGACAAGTCTCCAGACCCGCACCGAATAGCAGAGCGAGTCTCTGATTGGATAGCGTCTTCTATTATTCCCACCTCTTTTAACGTGCAACTATATTATCCAATCCGAGACTCGCTCTACTATTCGGTGCGGGTCTGTAGCCTGCGATTTGTTTGCTTCCGGGCATATGTCCTGACTTCGTGCGAGAATGGACGGCAAAATTATTGAAAGCTTTAAATGAGAATAAAGTCACCAGGTTAGTGATACGCAAAGTACTTTACAGAGGTCAACTGAGCATAAAGTGTGCAGTTTATTCAACGGTCAAAGAGATGGAAGCGTTTGTCAGACCGAAACCCAGCCGAGCCGAGCCTGGCCGCCATTTTGTTTCGATTTACTGACACACCTTTTTTATATCTTATATATATAGGTCATACTTATAAACATATCAGAGTCAAGCGCCTATGACTTATACCGTTTTCAAGCAAATGCACGTGGACGAAAACGGTGTAAGTATCTGTACCAAAACGTGGCTACTGTACTATAGAGAAGTTGATCATCCATAAACACTTGTCATTCCTTTTGTCACGTTTACCTACCAACCTACCGAAGCTAGATTGTATAATAGAAACCATCTGTCCGCTTTGTGTTCTCCTTATACCCTAGGTGTGTACGGCTACATTCAGTTGGATAGGCAATGCAACTCTTGGCACAATCAAACTCCGTTGTGTCGCAGTTGCAGAGGCCTACTTTGAGATATCCAAAGTTCGCTGCCAGAAATACACAGGCAAAAATACACAGCTCTTTCTTTTAGACAACCCCAAGTTCTACATAATGAATTTGTTTGTGGTTAAATAAAGTGTTTGACTTTTGTAATAGTGTCGACATGTACATTTCGGCACTGTCATGAATACAGGCTCACAGTTAGTCGTCAGTCTTCATTGTTTCATTAGCATGTAACAACGCAATGACTATAACTATTTTGCTGATATTGTTGTACAATTTCACAATTACCAAAGACAAATACTTATGGAGGTGAGGTGAAATTGGGTTTTACGTCGTGCTTGAGAATATTTTGCTCATATGACGACGTGCATGCGTGTGTATGTGTATGTGCGGCTGCTTGTACTAGCCTAGACTTAAGCTGGTTTTATAGTGGTAGCACACTGAGATACCATGCCGCAGTGAAGCATGAATACCCCACTCAGACATATTATACTGACTCCGAGCCGACCAGTCCTTGTTGTACCCATTAATGCCAAGCGCCAGGCAGGGACCAACAAGTACCATATTTTAACGTCTTTTGGTATGACGCGGTCGGGGATCGAACCCGCGACCTTCCGCTCTCCAGGCGGACGCTCTAACCACTACACCACGGAGGCGGTCAAAAATACTTATGGAAAAGTATTTCGTATTTCAAATTTATTTCATTCAGAAAAAGCAGTCCCAGATGCGTCTGTGACAAGTTTCGGAGCATAAGCGTCAAGTCAGTGGTTGAAATCAACCAGGTGCACAACAGGTAAACACTTTTAATAAATTTCTGACATTTTACCAGAATATAACATTACGAAACTGACGACTCTTTCGAATTTGCAGTGCTGGTTGCTTAAAGGAGTCGTCGTGGAGTCATCTAGGAGTCGTCGTGGCAATGGATTACACTAAACACAGAGACGTTGACAAAGGCTGGGCCTGGGTGGTGCTTGTGGCCACGTCGCTGGGTCAGGTGATCACGGGCACGGTGGCTCTTTCCACGGGATACTTCCAGACCGAGTTCCTGAAGCACTTCCCTGGCAGTAACAGCCTCATTAGCCTCATCTCCTCGATATTCATGTCGCTACAGCTGACAATGGGTAAAGCAAGACACGTCATCATGTCCTGGATGTACACCAGAACAATATAATGTCCAAATATTTTTCAGGATAATGCCTTTCGTGATTTGGGCACTGCTGAAAGTAACCCATGTTTGTTTTCTTCTTGATGTGTTTTGACAGGATGTTCTGGGCATTTTATGTATGTGTGTGTGTTTAGGGGTAAGGAAGGACGTGTTCCATTTGTACACATTGCGTTTCATGTTGACCCAGGACCTGCCTCTAGCCTCCTGTGTAATGCGTTCGGAATCAGAGCTGCCATGATGGCTGGTGGCATCATGCTGTCCCTCGGCCTCTTCCTCAGCAGCTTCGCAACAAACCTCCTACATCTTGTGGCTACATACAGCCTCGTGGCAGGTGCGCTACTAAAACTACGGGGTCTATGTGTAACGTAATATCCGACTAAGTTCAAGCTAAAATTCGAAGACAACTGAATCACAGACATTCATTCTCCTTTTCTTCTATATGAGACTTGATTCTGCGAAAACAAAGATAACAACAGCAATGTTGATCAGATGGCTCTTAGCAAAACCATTTGAAACAACGGACTAGATTGTAGGTAGGTAATACCATGACAATATAGGTTACAAAGCAAACTGAAGCCAAAACATTATAAGTTGTTCACCGGTCCCTCGGGGCCCATGGACTGATGTAACCTCGATGTTTCTTTATGTTCCCTGAGCCCGAGCATTCATTGCCTAGTCTTGACAGAAATTTTGTATTCACAGGAGCAGGATACGGGATCACCTACACTCCCATGAACGTCATCTTGGGCCACTATTTTCACAAGAAACGGGTTCTGGCTAATGGAATAGCTATTGCATCATGTGGCATCGGTTTCGCAGGTGGTGGCTATCTGGTTGTCTGGATGCTGGAGGGATGGGGATGGAGAGTTGCCATGGCATCAATAGCGTGTTTAACATGTCAGATGTGTATCATAGGATGTGTGTTCTTCCCCCTCAAACTGGAGAGAATGCGGCTTCCCTGTTGCACAAAAGAGAAGCCTGAGAACAGGAAGTCCGGACAGTCCCATCTCTGGTTCCTCGGCGATCCCTATTGGTGGATCATGTGTGTCAACTACGGCCTACAGATGATAGGACTAGGAATTCAGCTGGTACATTTTCCTTCATATGCAGAATCATGCGGGGTGCCGCTCCGTGACATCCCGTCGTTGGGGACAGCGTTCGGAGTTGCTATGATCTTTTCGCGGTTACTTGGAGGTTGTTGTTGTAATGATGATGGCGTGGACTTGTTGATGTTCATGTTTGCAACACAAGGTCTGTCAGGAGTATTCATTCTATTTATGCCTTTTTTATGCGAGTTCGTTCACAGGATTGACAGTGTACACAGTCTTGATGTCGCTATTCTATGCAGCGTCGTTTGTCCCCGTGTCACCCTTGGTTGTCAGGCTGTTCGGCGTGGAGAAGCTAGCCACTGTGTTCGGGTGGATCATGCTATGGGGAGGACTAGGCTACCTCGTAGGGCCTGTTATAGCAGGTACGTTTTGTGCAGACGGATTCCCTCCACTGACCCTTGAGCAAACATTCCTACGTATCTGCTTATCCAATCCAGCGAAGCTGTGCAGACCATAATGAGCACATGTCCAATCCCTGCAATAAGATGGTTTGCTGTTCAATGTCCCTGCCGGCAATATTCCACCTTATGGACACTGGACAACGTCGCATCCATATACTGGAGACACAGCATTTTTACGACATTACCTTGCAAACAGTGACAACATTAGATCTGTCATGTTGACGAACATTACAGGAAACCTCGTATGCAGACATGTATCAACTTGTAGGACACTTACACGTGCTTGCTCCCAATCTTATCATTGATCTCAACATAATACATTCGTTAGAATCGTTGGTCATGGATATTGCACGACGATACCCTTTCCATACTCTTGAAATCTCTTCTTACAGACTGTTGTATGATTCCGAATGTATCTTGAAGCAAACTAGGATACCAAGTACGTTTTCCAGTCACCTGTCATATATATTTGGAATAGTTATGTCGTGGTTGGGCGATGATCCATCCTGCAGGAAAGTTGTTCAGGCAGCCTTTGATCCCCATTGTACCAAATATGGTTGATTAACTGTTCCTGGTGATTAGCTGATTATTGCTTTTGATTATTAGCCAGTTTCGTATAATGCATTGTCCCATTTCTGGGGTCCCCCGCCGTGATATTGCTGGAATATTGCTAAAAGCGGCGTAAAACTAAACTCACTCACTAATGCATTGTCACTAATTGTTTGTGCGGGTACATATTTTAAAGACTTAAAAGTTACATATTTCACACTTGCCAAACTAATTTCTCTTGAGAGTCAAGATATATGTTTCAAATACTTCTGACGCTTAGTTCAGAAGGAAGGCGTGTGATTTTACTGATGAATATGCGACAGTTAGGTTAAGTTCAATATGTTGTCAGAGTTCGCCAGTGTCAGATCTTGCTTTATTCTGGATGTCGTTTTCATCAGCTTTCTGTTCATCAATAAAATGACAGCGTTAACAAATCAGCATGTTTAATGTACTTACATTACAAACTCCCCGTGAACATGAGCCTTTCTTTCAGGGCGTATCTTTGACGTATCGTCTTCTTATGCAATGGGATTTCATATAGGAGGTGAGTAATAAAGAGACACATATTGAGAGATTCCTTTCAACAGAATATCAGTTAACGTGCGTGAATTGGATACTTACACATAGAAAGCATGCTGGCCACTCACGAAACGTTTATAGAGCATTAATTTTACATCAACGAAGGCGATTAGAGTGTTGACACGTTCTCGTATACCCTGCCATTGTTAAACTTTTTCAATTGCTTAATATTAATTTGTCTCCTTAAGATGTCTTTAATAATAACAAATTCAAAGAACTTCCGTAACTATCTCTTCTCATTGCAGGACTCGTTATGGTCAGCAGTGCTTTTCTGTTACTGTTGATTCCGATCGTAGAGAGCAAGTTAAAAGTTACGGATTCGGAAAAGCTAGACCATCAACGGGACCCATTACACGTTGACAAATGTATTACAATAGAAAATACAATGGAATCTGACTAGGCAATCCAGCGATTAATACTATGAACAACGCCCCACACCCGTACAAAGCCGGCGATTCTGACCAACCGATTTATTAAGTCACCACTTAATACTTGATTTACACTAATTCCTACCTGGAATTCTAGTATTGATTTTGACTAGTATTGATGTGCGTGGGACACATTTACCTATTTATGGCATTGGTCGCAAGGTATTTGGTCTCACTCCAACATGTACTGTACGCGCTGCATCGTATACGTCGTTGTTGACTGACAAGGTGAGCTGCTCAGATGACGTGAAACTGTTAATTTTAAGGTGTATGATGTGTTTCAATGTGAAGCACAAAGAGGTTTGTTATGCCATTAATAAAAAAAAAAACTTGAAACGGTCTTTTAAAGTTCTTGGATTGTCTCCCGACACGAAAGAAAATGTTTTAGCAATCAGGGCAAGCAGGTAGGGGGGCATGTCAAAATCATGTTGGATTGATAAATCAAGTCAGACGTGCACTTGTTAAAGTGGATTCAGAATATAATTCCATGCCATCAATACACTTTAAAATACCTACATACTGAATGTCAAGATCACATGGTAGTTTGGTTTAACTGTATGACGTGTGTTACAGTGTGGTTGGACTGTAGTAGGTGAGTATCAGGGTGTGGGAATGGGTAGAAAGCATGCAAGGTGGTATGAAGAGGCTAGTGTGGCAAGAAAAGCATGCAAGGTGTGAGGTTTGATTATATTAGGCAGAGTGCAAGGGTTGGTGAGTGCAGTCATGAAAGTTGTCTGATGAGGATGGCTGTATTTGCAAGGGGGCTGGTCCGATTTCATGGCGTGAGTAGAATTTGTTTTATTGGATATTTATGTTTATCGTCTTGCTTTGTAATTATTATTGTGGAGCTATGTAAATATGGGTATTTGTTAAATGATGATTATGTTATCATTTTGTCAATCATCAAATGTTGTAGCAAGAAATATACTATGTATGTAATGCAATGCTCTTAGTACGTTGAATGATTGTTATCATTCTGGGTTTGTAAAACTCGGTGTACATTGAATGATAAGTATATCAAATGTTGTTTTGATATTTGTATAGTGCCCGGGACCTGTGCCGGACCATATAAAAGGCAGTATGTGTGTGTTTACCTCGTCTTGTGTGTAAGAGGCAGATCTGTATGATGGTCTCGACCTGTAAAAGGTGGCGTCTGTGTTGCCTCCTCATGTGACTGACCAGCGAAACGTCGTCAGGATGGCTGACCGTGAGAGAGATTGAGGTTGTCATGACATTATGCTATGTGAGAAGAGCTTTAACATCAGTGAACATTCAGTCCCATTCCGTGTTTGATACACGTGGTGTACGCTCTGTACAATGTAAAATAGTTGTATTGATGACTCTTTATTCCATTACTGAAGAGGCCACATGCCTATAGTACAAAATATAAAAACAATAAATGGCATACAATCACAATGTTTGCAAAGGTTATTTTCTATGTTCAAAAGCATGGTGGATATACATACCAAGTTTACGAATATCAGTTGTATTATTAGAGTTCATTATCAAATTTAAACATGGTAGGCTGTCAATAGTAATATTGTGGTAGATATTTTGTCCTTAAATCAGCATAGTAAGGACATACCAGCAAAAAAGTGGAACTCATCTTCAATTACATTTAGTGCACAAAATTTGCACAATCTGTTTTCTCTTGGAATATTGTAATATCTGCCCTTCTCGATCATAAGATCATGTGAAGAGCATCTAATTCTAGATAATGAAACGTGGAATTTTCTAAGATTAATATCGGGTAGGTATTGCTCTGCATGGAAATAAGATTTAAAAGTACTGTAAAAAGTGGATTTGGGCGACTGTATTAAAGATGAGTTCCCGGTCTGAATGTACATATCTTTTAATCTTTGCGATAAAGCATATAAAATGACTTTGGGCAGGTAATTTTTTGTGACAAAAATACATCACTAAAACCACAATGATTTAGTAAATTTCTGACATTCGTTACCCAATTTGATTTTCCGTTGGTGTCAAACCAATACATCATGTTATATCATTTCTTAGGAAATCTTGATGCAGGCATATTCAAGAGCTTTACCCAGTATTTGATAGCTGTTATCTGTGCTTCTAGATAAAGTGGGAAGCGACCGCATTCACCATAGATCATCACATTTGGGGTATTTAATTTAACTCCTAAGACTTTTTTACACGCGTACAATTGAACCTTTTCCAATGCTTCCAACTGAGAAAACCCCCAAACTTCTGCCCCATATAGCAAAACTGGTCTAATTTTTGTATCAAATATTTTGAAATATGTTTGGAAATTTACATTGCCCAATTTCTTTACATTACTGTAAATGCCCATAAAAAACTTTCGTCCCTGTAAAGCAGCACTATTACCATGATGATACCATGATAACGTATTGGCAAAATGGACCCCTAGATATTTATATCCTTTAACAACTTCCAAGTAGTTTTCTGATTTGGACAATTTAACACCATTCTTATAGACAACAACCTTTGTTTTATTTGCATTTACATTAAGCTTAAATTCACGGCAATGGTTTTCCAGCAAGGTAATTTGTATTTGTAGACCCTTCACTGTACTTGAGAACATGATGACATCTTCAGCAAACAATAACAAAAATACCTTAATGTCCGGGTGCAACTGAATACCATCTGTACAATTTTGATACACAACTGATGCTAATTCATAAAGAAAATTAACAGAAATGGGCTTAGAATACAGGCTTGGCGTACACCAACATTGCAATCAAATGTTGATGGCATAACACCTTTTGTTACGCACACATGCTTTCACATTGTTATATATATTACATAATAGTTTTCCCATTTTGCTACTCAAGCCGTTCTGGGTGAGTAGCTTCCATAATTTGTTCCTATCAACCGAGTCGAATGCCTTGGCAAAATCTACAAATAGAACTTAAAATTTACCACCTTTACGTGAGATATAACGCTGTACAAGGCTTTGGAGAATAAACATATTGTCAGTGGTGGAGTAGCCCTCTCTAAAACCCGCTTGTGATTCGTGAATTTTATCTTTCGAATCAGCCCAGAAAACGAGTCTTTTATTAATGATATACAAGAAAATTTTACTAAAAAATACTAAGTAATGTGATACCGCGGTAATTTTTTGCTAATTTTGGATCCCCACCCTTAAACAGTGGAATGATAATACCGGTATCCCATGCTCTGGGAAGGCTGCATTTTCGAGCATAATGTTAAATATTACTGACTGACTGAGTTTGGTTTTACGACGCTTTTAGCAATATTCCAGCAAGATCACGGCGGGGGACGCCAGAAATGGGCTTCACACATTGTACCCATATGGGGATTCGAACCCGGGTCTTCGGCGTGACGAGCCAACGCTTTAACCACTAGGCTACCCCACCGCCCGTTAAATATTTTTAGTAGGTAAGGCGTAAGCACATCTTCTGCGTTCTTGAAAAACTCTGGTATAATATTGTCTATTCCTGCAGATTTGTCATTCTTCAGATGTCGTATACTTTCTCTTATTTCAAACTCTGAAATTGGTGCATCTAGAATATCAGTTCTAATTTCATCTTCATCATTGTTCATAATAAAATCAAAGGCCTGAACACGTTACCATTATCTCCTTTCTCAGGGTCTGAAACATTAAATAAGGTTTTGAAGTGGTCGTACCACTCATAACTTGGAATAGTATTTTCTGTAAAGTTGGATTTTAAACTGTTTATTACTTCCCAAAAACGTTTAGGATTTTCAAGTGACTCTTCTAATAAGCGAAGTTTGTGGTCATGATATTATTCTTTTTTAACTTTACAAACTGCATTATACTTATTTCTAGCATCCACGAATTCGTGGAGGGAAACTGGTTCCGTATCTTTTCTGAATTTATTCAAAATCCTGAAACTTTCTTTCTTTGTAAATTCACATTCAGCGGCAAACCACGGTTTACTAGTTCTACGTTTATTACCAATTCGTCATTGCATTCCATCTGCTGCCGCACATAATCCTTTACACATGTAATCTATACTGTCATTAATATTTGTAAATGCAACAACGAGAGGTTTTTCGAATATCCCTTATACAGTATCAGAATGTAAATTATCTACAAATGATTGTTTCTTAGCTGTATCCCATATAAACCAGGAAGAAAATATATTTGAATTATCCTCGTCCGAACCAACACAAGCACAAGCGTGAGGAGCTAGTAAAGATGAAACAAGTGCAAGGTGCGATGATTCTGCACGAGAAAGTACATTAAACGTTTCAGTGTTGAAAGAGCTCCGGGGAACGTATTACATAATCAGTCAAGCTTGCCCCATTATGTCCAATGAATGTAACATCACCAACACCCTGATCGCCATCACATCTTCCATTCATTTTATATAAATGTTTAAGACTGCGCATAGATCAAGTAAACATTTTCCAAAACGATTTACACATTTGTCTACTGAATACCTTTTCATTGAAGAAACATCCGATAAAAGCTCACATGATCTATTATCGGTACCTTCTGTGTACTTCAAAATATAATTCTCTATAAAATCAGAATTTGTACCAGTTCTGGCGTTAACATATCCACCGATACATAAATATACGTCAGTGTACTTCATAAGTATACCAAATAATCTTTGTTGAAAGATAATGATGCCATTATTACATTGTATATCTGTATTACTGTACCACGATGATCCTTCAGGATGTACATACACACAAGTGTATAATATATCCTTATTAATATCAAACAGTACAAAAATACAGCTTTCAAACACCTCAATACATTTTACGTCTTGGGATAAAGTATTTTTGATAAGTACAAGTATGCCCCCAGACAGTCTCCCAGCTGCAGATATTTTCTCAGCATTCTTCATATAAATGATAGTCAGCAAAAACTGATTTCAGATCAGAACCCTTCATCCATGTTTCTGCCAATCCGATGATTTCATGTGATAATATGAACTGAATACAGTCATGATCATTAAGCTTTGAGAAAAAGTCCGGACACATTCCAGAGTACAAAATTAACTTTTTTACAAGCATTTACACAACTATGTATACAACGTCTTGAACGAAGTGCCGTAGAATCACATAGGCCCTGACCACACCCCTATCTCTCCTTGTTATTCTTTCTCCCTGTTCTATTCCTCTCACGGAGTTTTCTAATGTCAGGTTCTTTCCTACTAACTCTCAACGACTCTCCCACTCCATCAATCGCCATATCATCATCCCTATCTGTCTCACTAATGTTTCTATTCAAGCCTCCCTGCCCTTTCCTCTCGCTTCTCCTGTTTGATTTCCAGTTGTATTATACAAATGTATTGTTCCATTGGGTTAGGGTTTTTTGTGTGTGTAAAGGGTATGTATAGGAGTGATTGTGTGCTAT